GGGAGTCAGTTGTCTCCTTCCATCAAGTGGGTCCTGGGAATCAAACTCAGGTCGTCAGGTTTGGCTGCAAGCCCCTTTCCCCACTGAGCCATCTTGCTTGCCCCATCTTTTTGTTTGCTTCGAACAGGGTCTCGGTCTGTAGCCCCAGCTGCCCTGGCACTTGATATGTACCTCAACATGACCTGGAATTCAGTATAAAGCCCAGGCTGCCCCCAAGCTCAAGAGCAATTCTCCTGCCTCAGCCTCTCTTGTACTGAGACTGGGTGTGCATTGCCACTCTCTGTTCCCTGTTGTATTTCATTCTGTTCCCCTATTGTTGTATTTCAAATGTTTTTTTTTTTTTTTCAGGATTTATTTTAGGTGTATGAGTGCTTTGTCTGTGTGGTGGTTTGAAGGAGAATGGCCCCCTTAGGCTCCTATGTTTGAATGCTTGGTCCCTAGTTGGTGGAACTGTTGGGGAAGGATGAGAGGTGTGGCCTTGTTGGAGGAGGTGTGTCACTGGGGTGGGCTTGAGGTTTTGAAAGCCTGTGTGTACCATTCTCAGATCTCTCTGCCTTGTTCTTGTGGATCAAGAGGTAAGCTCTGTTTCTGCTTCAGCACAACCCTGACTGCTTCCTGCTATGTTCCTCACCATGATGGCCATGGACTCCAACCCTCTGAAACTGTGAGCCCAGTAAACACTCCCTTTTATAAGTTGCCTTGGTCATGGTGTTTTATCAAGGCATCAGGACAGTAACTAAGACAGCCTGATTACATGCATGTGTATCATGTATATATGCCTGGTGGTTACAGAGGCCAGAAGAGGGTGTCAGATCCCCTGGAGCTGCAATTATGGATAGCTGTGAGCCTCCGTGTGAGTGCTGGGAACCAAACCATGGTCCTCTGCAAGGGCAGCCAGGGCTCTTGATTACGGAACCATCTCCCTGGCCCCTAATGTCAAATCTTCCTCTATTTCCTTTCCCATAGCTGGAGAGGCGGGGGGCCCTGGTTGTGGAATTTGAGGCTCCCCTTGTCACAGGCCTAAAGCTGCCAGCCCAACAACGCAGAGTGGTATTTCCAGAAGATGTCATTCAGTTCTCGCCATCCGGGCCACTCTCACTGCAACCGGGTGACAAGGTACTGGCACCCTGGGAACCAGAGCAGCAGCAGTTCGGCCCTGGCACTGTTCTCTTGGGCTTGAAGAAACAGAAAGGCCAAAGAGGTGAGGAAGCTCCTGTGACCTGACATCCCCAGAGGAGCACTGTGGGAGTCATGGCTCCCCAGAGGGGCACTGTGGGAGTCATGGGTCCGCAGAGGGGCACTGTGGGAGTCATGGGTCCCCAGAGGAGCACTGTGGGAGTCATGGCTCCCCAGAGGGGCACTGTGGGAGTCATGGGTCCCCAGAGGGGCACTGCTGGTGGTCATGGCTCCCCAGAGGGGCACTGCTGGTGGTCATGGCTCCCCAGAGGGGCACTGCTGGTGGTCATGGCTCCCCAGAGGGGCACTGCTGGAGTCATGGGTCCCCAGAGGGGCACTGTGGGAGTCATGGGTCCCCAGAGGAGCACTGTGGGAGTCATGGCTCCCCAGAGGGGCACTGTGGGAGTCATGGCTCCCCAGAGGGGCACTGTTGGTGGTCATGGCTCCCCAGAGGGGCACTGCTGGTGGTCATGGCTGCCCAGAGGGGCACTGCTGGTGGTCATGGCTCAGCGGTCTCAGAACTACAGCAAACAGAACCCTCACACCTTCCCCAGCACCCTCACCCTGCAGGGGCAGCAGATCTACAGTCCTATCTTCCAGGATATGTGATGTTTAGTATCAGAGAGGACAGAAGCTGGCATGTGGCTTGTGTCTGTAATGCCAGCACTTAGGAAGCTGAGCCAGAGGACTGCCATAAATTTGAAGGCAGCCTGGGCTACAGAGTAAGAGTGTCTAAAAAAAAAAAAATGGGGGCTGGAGAGATGGCTCAGTAGTTAACAGCACTTGCTGTCCTTGCAAAGGACCCAGATTCAGTTCCCAGCACTCACACAGAAGCTCACATCCTTCTGGAACTCCAATTCCAGGGTACCCAGTACCCTCTTCTGGCCTCCCTGGGCACCATGGTATGAATGTGGTACACACACATATATATATCCAGGCAAAGCACTTATACACATAAAAATAAAAATATTTAGAAAACAAAGCAAAACAACAACCAAAAAGACAAAATGTATAAAATAAAATCAAGAGAAACAACTTAGAACTACCATGTTGATTACCAAAACCATCATATGATGTGATGTCATATGTCTCTAATTCCAGCACTCAGTGGGCTGAAGCAGGGGAATCGTGAATCTGAAGGTAGCGTGGGTTACATAATGAGACCTATCTCAAAAAACGCAAACCAGCAAACCCAACAAAGACATTATGTGTGGTGGTGGGAAAGTATTCTAGTCATGGGGACTGATCACTCACCAAGTCCTCCAGAGACTGACCATCCTCTTACGCCAGCCAGTCAGCACTGCTGTACTTCAGAGAACGATAAAAAGCCTCTGCTGAGGCTGCATTTTGGTTTTGCATGAAAACCAGTTCCCTCCAGGTCCTCTTCAGCCTAGGAGGCAGGGAGGTGCCAGCACATCCTCCAGAGCTGGTGGTCAGTGTGCTACGGGAGCAGGGGACATCCCCACAGGCTCTCTGGGCACAGTGGCACATGAAGAGCCAGGAAGAGCAGAGGGATGGGGCTGAGGCTTTTGGCTTTGAGGATAGGGAAACCTTTATTCCAAAGAACCAGGAATTATTAAAAAAAAAATGTCTCCCATTTCTGTTCATAGCATCTAAAGAAGAAGAGATCACTGTTCACTTCTGGAATGGCAAGACAACTAAGGTGCCTCTAGACAGGGTCCAGTGTGTGGCGCCCACTGTCTGGAAGAAGGCTGTGGAGAGACTAGAAACACCTCACACAAGGGACTACCACAGTCCTTTTCTTTGGGTACCTCACTGCTCTCAGCGGGGACCTAACACTGGATGCTCCACACACAAGCCTCCTCTGAACTCTTCCTTCTTATGCCCTCCCTGCCTCTCTCATGCCCGCTGCCAGCTTCTGTATCAGAGCTGTTTCTGCGGCTGTCCTGTGGTAGGGCCTAGCTGGTGGCCTCTAACTGGGACCTCAGAGGTCACAACCAGAAAACGCCCAGAGCTGGAGCTGAAGCCCACAGCTCAGCTTCTGCCCCTACAAGGTCCCAAAGAGGAGGCCACAGCAGCGTTCAGCTACAATATGTCCTCCTCCTCTGAGGAAGAGAATTCAGAGAGCCATCTGGAGACGGGACTTCCTGAGAGACAGATGGTAAGCAGGGCAGTCAACACTGACCCTACTCTTTCTGAGAGGCCGCGGCAGCAATTCGACCCCCGCCAGCCTGAGTGGAGGTACTGGAGGAGAAACGGGCCTGAGCCACCCCCCTGGAAAACCAGGTATGTTATACTGGGGTATGGCGCTAGCGCCCCCGGCAGGGGCTAAGGGCTGCAAGGGTCTCATGGGAATCTGGTATACTCTGGTGGGCTTGAAAGTAATGTATGGAATGCAGGCTGTGGGGGAGAATGTCAGATGTGGAAAGTGGTAGCTCCCCCAGGAGAGGACAGATAGGCTTGATCTTTGTGCTCTGATTGGTACCTCTATTTAACACCCTCCTCTTCTTTGAAACAGGGTCTCACGTAACCAAAGATGACCTTGAACTCCTGATCCTCCCACGTCTACCTCCTGAAGGCTGGGATTACAGGCATGTACTACCATGCCAGGTTTATGTGGTGCTGGGTAGAACCCAGGGCATCATGCATGCCAGGCAAGCACTCTACCAACATCCCTAGCCACATCTTCCTTTTTCTGTTTCCACTCATCTGCTAACAGGGTGCTGACTGCAGGTGTTGATGAGAGTCAAGACCTGAGCAAGTATAGAAACTAGTCCTTAAATGTTAGGGATTAGCCTGTACTGTCCACATGGGCCCCTTAGTAAGACGGGGGGGGGGGGGGGGCACTGCCTTTTGCTGCTCATTTTAGAATAGATGGGCAACCCCTAGTTTCACCTTGTACCGAGGACTATGGAGCACATCTTGGTAGGTTAGAGGAGATGCATGTTACTCTCTGCCCCATAGCCATCCTATCTAAATTCCCATCAGAGTGCAGAAAGAACAGAAGTCTAGGTGAGGGAGCAGAGTTGCACGAGGCAGGTGGCCTAGAGAAGCATGGCCTGGGCTTCACTTTGGAGGCCCGTCGCCACTGATCTCCTGTCCACTGAGGAGGGATCTGTGGCAGGCATACTATGCTCTGAGTGTTAAGGGCTTCAGGGTCCACTAGACACCATGCAAACTGAGACCCAGGCCTGAAGCCATTGGCCTGTTCCTACAACAGCTACTTAGCCAGAATGGACTACTCAGCGTGTGAGCAGCTCACGCTCACCACAGGACTAAGTCTTCAGGTCCAGGAGGTTGAGATCTTTTTTCTACTTTCTTGGGTGACTTCTCTAGATCCCAGGGTTGGGCACAAGTCAGTACAGGCCTAAGTCTACTCAGATTTTTTTTAACTAAATACAATGTGTATGGGTGTTTTACCTGCACGTATGTCTGTGTGTCACATATATGTAGGACCCTCAGAAGCCAGAAAGGACATCAGATTTCCCTGGGAGTGGTTACATACTGTTATGAGCCACCATGTGGGTGCTGGAAATTGAACTCAGGGACCTCTGGAAGAGCAGTCAGTGCTCTTAACCTTTGAGCCATCTCTCCAGCCCCCTGCAGTTGTATTTTACAAGAGGCTTTCAGGAATTTCTCTGGCATCCAAAGCTGGGGATATTTCCTTCACCCCTGTCAGGGAAATAATTAGAAAGACAAGCATCCATTTCTGGTCAACTGAGAGGAAAAGTCTGGAACTTCTGTTAAAGTGGTCTCCAGGTCTCACTATAGCAAGTCTTGGCAGCAACAGCTTGGAAACAGCTGTTTCTGGAATCCTCCTCCCAACCAGTGACAGGATAAAGAGAGTAGTTCCCAAATCTAACATTCATGCTGACTGACTCTTGACTTCCACCACCTCCTGCTTGGCACAGCCTGGAGAAAGAAAGGTTGTACCTACTCTCGTAAGGAAGAGCAACAGGGGTTGACCAGAGGGGCCGCGGTGATGAGACAGGCTCAGGTTTCTGGGTTTGGTTTCATTGCTGTGATTTGAAATCTCTAGGGTGGACAGAAACCAGTCAAGGACAAGCAGACTCTCTCCCGCCCTACATCCATGCTACCACCTCCTACCTAAAGCTGCTTAGACCCATGTTCAGTCCCTTTCCCAATCACTGTATTAAAATATATGCAAATCAGTTTTTCCTGTCAGAATAAATTCTGAGGCAGGAGAGATAGCTCAGTGGTTAAGAGTGCTTATTGTTTGCCCGGGAGTGGTGCATGCCTTTAATCCCAGCACTTGGGAGGCGGAGGCAGAGACAGGCAGATCTCTAGGTTCAAGGCCAGCCTGGCCTGGTCTACAGAGTAAGTTCCAGGACAGCCAGGGCTCCACAGAGAAACCTGTGCTTATTGTCTTCCCGAGAACCAGAGTTCAGTGCCCAGCATGCACATCAGACAGCTCACAATCACCTGCTAACTCCAGCTCCAGGGGACATGACACCCTTTTCTGGCCTCCATAGACACCCAAGTACATATGACATACACTCATACAGATACACACACACACACACACACACACACACACACACACACACACACACAATAAAAATGAATCTTTTTTCTTTTTTTGAGACAGGGGTTCTCTGTGTAGCCCTGACTGTCCTGGAACTCACTTTGTAGACCAGGCTGTTCTCAAACTCAAGAGATCAGCCTGCCTTTGCCTCCCAAGTGATGGGATTAAAGATGCGTGCCACTACTGCCAGGCTAAAAATCAATCTTCAAGAAAATAAAATATTTCTAATAATTAATCATAAAGAATAATGTATCTTTTGGGTCCTAGGTGTTTTGTTACAGTTCAGGAAAAGATTTAAACTTCTGGAGCAGCCCATGGAGCAACATCAGGAATATTCTAAATCCACACAGAGAATGTTCTAGATGGTGTATGGGAAAGGTCCCCCCCCCACTCCCTAACCCCTCACCCCCCAGCTATTTCTTCCTTTTTAGATCTATTCGTTAGAAGTCCCACCCCTGCTCTTTTTGTTTTTAGCAGTTTTGACAGGGGCTGGGTCAAACCTAGACTAGCCTGGTTCTAGGATTATAGATGGGAGCCACCATGCAGATGCCATACTGCCTGTCATTGTCAACTGGCAAAGATGACTGACAGGCACAAAGCCAAGTGCGAGCCAGGGCTGGAGACAACAGCAAGTAACAAAGCTTTTTCCTTTCCAGCTTTGCATCCTTGTAAGGAAATGTATTGTTTGGCTTCTAAACAGGATTAGTATTTAATCAGTACTAATTATCAGCACTCCATCAGACGGTACTTGATGTCAGTCTGTCAAGTTCCAAAGTTTGACCATCAGCCTTCAGCTCTACCTCTTGTGATCCTCGGGTGTGTGGGTCCTCTGCCCTCCAAACATGGCCTTCTGCATTCCCTTACAAGGATACAAAGCTAGAAGGAAAAGACAGGCTGTTACTTCCCATTGTCTCCAGCATCGGCTCCACTAACTGATCTTGGGTTTAGGAACAAGATGTTGCCACAATAAGAAAAAAGACAAGGACAACCAACAGGACAGAGAGCCAACTGCAGTTGTGGGGACTACCCAGGAGCTAGCCCTGAAAGCCACCAAGAAACCACGGCAGACTCAACCAGAAGCTGAACACAGACAACGAAGCCAGGCATTAGAACAACCAGAGAAACAGTTCCCTTAGTAGAAAAGTCCTGAGCATCTGGGTAAAGCAGAATGCCTGGGCAGGGCATCTGAGGGACTCCTTAAGTAGTTCTTCCTGGGGTCATATTCTGTTTGAGGATGGTAAAACTATGGCCCCTTTCCAGAAAACCACATACCCACTGTTGTGCATGTCAGAAGATGGAGAGGACCCACAAAGTTCGTTCCAGGCTTCTGGAAGGATGTACAAGGATCCCTATAAAATGTTTCCCAAGTCAGGCAGTTCACAACCACCTGTCATTCCAGCTCCAGGGGTCAGATCCCCTCTTCTGGACTCTGAGGGTACCTATACTCCAGGTGCACAAGTCCACACATAGACACACAATTTTAAAATTTGGGGCAGAGTGACTCGTTGGTTAAGAGCATTTGCTGCTCTTAAAGAGGACCCAGGTTTGCTTCTAGCACTCATATGGCAGCCGACAACCATCTTCTGGCCTCCGTGGGTACCGGGCATGCACACGGTACGTATGCCAAGTACTCATACACACGGAAATAATCTTAAAAGGCAAACTGGGTATTGTGGTTCATGTCTGTAAATCCCAAGATTTGGGAAGCCGAGGCAGGATGATTATTCCAAGTGTAAGGCCAGCCTAGGTTTGTACTAGGCCGGTCTGCTACTACAGTGTGAGATCCTGTCTCATCTTAAAAATCAAAACAGAAACAAAACAAAAATCCTTGAAATTACAGTCAGCCTATAAGATTGAAGATTTTTCTCCTAGAGGAAGTTAAGGAAAATGAGGTAAACACTTGAAAAGAGGTTAAAAAGAGTGGCTGAGAAAGCCTTAACAGAAGGAGGCTGAGCACAGGCTGCAGGTGAGAATGTCTAACAGCGCCCGCTCCCCTCCCGAGAGCTCCTGCAGGTCCTGAGAGCTCCTGCAGGGAAGCAGCATTTGGAAGACATCTGCTGTGAGGGCCACAGGAGCTGGTGGTCCTGCACTGGAACTTCCTGCCAGGGGCCTGCTGAACGGCTTAGGACACCTATCACAAAAGGGGCAGGGTGTGCCCACCTGCTGTCTTCTCACAAAGCCTACAGTTGTACATGGGGAACATTGGGTTTTTTTCTTTTTAATACCAATAAAATGAATTCTTTTTAGTTCCAAATCTCTCCCTTTATTATCATAATTAACACTTATTTGGAAAGCCAGTAGTAAGAGCTGTTCAGACAGCACCGTTACATTATTGTTTTCAGGCACACAAGGATGGGGGACTTCTATAATCAATCGCAAGGTAAAATGAGCTCTGAAAGAGACAGACTCCAGTTCACAAAGGTTGCCCCCTGACAGCCAGCATTAAAAGTAGCATCAATCTATCATTATTAAGACAATTAATAGGTGATTTTTATTCTTCTTGCTACTTAAAAAAGAGCGAAATGATGGCAGTGATGGTCAACTTCATACGGGGAAGACCAAGTCCACACTTTGCCCCGAGTCAACTTCGACCACATGAGTCTTCTTGGTTAGAGGGCTTGAGCCCACAGTGACAGAATAGGTCCCAGGATACACTTCTATGTAGAGGTCCTTAGAGATGTCCTCAGCCTGAAAGGAAAAGAGGCAAGGTGGTTTAAAGACTGATCTCTGCCACTGTGTGCCAGAGGTGGGGAGGAATGTATAGATATGGGGTCTTGCCTTCAAGGCTCAGCTTGGTCACATGGTGGCACTGTTGTTTTGGTGATTCTCAGCCTTAATGCTTGATGCCCTCTTTCTAAATCTGTGAGAATACCTACCCACAAGCAAGCATGTCAAAACTTGTAAATGAGAAAGTGTTATAGAAACAAATTATAAAAAGAACACCTGCCAGGTGTGGTTACTCACATGTTTAATCCCAGCTTTCTGGAGGCAGAGGCAGCCAGATCTCTGTGA